ATGGAGGATGTGGCTGTCGCCCCCCATATCTCCTGCCACTCCACCCCCTCCAGCACCTCACCCAGGTCCCTCTCCCAATGACCAATGTATGTCAGATTGCCCCATTCTTTGGTTTCTGCACAAATGTGCGCATACAACATCGTGATAAGGCCTTTAGGAGATTGCTCACGTAAACAAATGTTTTCATAAAAAGAGGGGGTGGTGTGCGCTGCCTTGTGCACAAGTGGTTGTCTAGCGTAATCCGCTACCTGGAGATATCTAAAGAAGTCGGCCGGGGTTAAATGATGTTCCCGTTGCAGGGTGTCAAAGGGGATGATAGATCCGCTTACATATAACTGGTGAGCCCTCTGCAGGCCCGCCCGTTCTTTGCCACGGAACTCTCGGGCCGCCAGACCGGGGGGAAAGGCCCTATTTCTAAGGAATGGCATAAGGGGGGAGGGGGAGGAAGCCAGCCGATATTTCTGGGATACCCTGTCCCAGATGTTGATGGAGTTGAGGATGGCCAGGCAGGCCGTGCGCACCATGGGCCGAAGGTCTTTGGGCACCCAGATGAGATACTGAGGGAGGTCTGATCCTGTGAGCAGGGATTCTAGCTCTACCCATTTCCTTGTGTCTATTGGGGAGTGCCACATCGCAATCTGGGCCAGCTGGGCAGCCAAGTAATAATTATATAGGTGAGGCAGACCTAATCCCCCCAGACGTTTCGGGCGATATAGGATGTTTCTTGACACACGGTGCCGTTTGTTTTGCCATATAAAATCGCCTATGGCTTTTTGGAGGTGGGCCAGGTCTGTTTTGGCCAGTGGGAGGGGGAGTGCCTGGAAGAGGAAAAGAATTCTGGGGAGGATGTTCATCTTAATTGAATGGATCCTCCCCAGCCAGGAGATGGGCTTGTCGACCCAGTTCTCCATGTCTCTAATTAGGGTGGCTATAAGGGGGGGGTAATTGTATTCATGCATCTTGGACGGGTCTGCAGTCAACCGGACTCCCAAATACGTGAGAGAGTGTGTCTCTACCTGAATGCCGTAATCCCTTTGTATGCCTGCTATAATGTCTGGTGATATTCCAATAGGTAGGGCACTAGACTTGGACATGTTAGGTTTGTAGCCGGAAAGCGGGCTGAAGCGTAGTAGGGTCTCTTGCACCGCCCTCATGGAAACGACCGGTGACGTTAGGGACAGAAGTACGTCATCGGCATATGCAGTGACCAGGAATACCCTTCCCCTTCCAGTCACTCCCTGAATATCCGGGTGTAGGCGCAGTGCCTGCAGGAGCGGTTCCAGTACAAGGGCAAAGAGAAGAGGGGAGAGTGGGCACCCCTGTCTCGTACCGTTGGTCAATGGGAACGGCTCTGGGCGGGCCCCGGGGATAATCACCTGTGCCGTGACCCCATGGTATAAGGCGCGGATGGTCTGAATGTACTGATTCGGGAATCCTAGATGATCATGTACGGCCATTTTACCCGATCAAAAGCTTTTTCAGCATCTAAGGATAACATGATGGTGGGGCTTTTGTTGTTGTGCTGTCGCCATATGATATCAAAGGATTTGCGGGTATTTTCAAAAAGTTGCCTCCCAGGTATAAAACCTACCTGGTCGGCGTCCACAAGCGAACCAAGAAAGGGGTTAAGTCTTTCCGCCAAAATTTTGGCGAGTAGTTTCGCATCGTGGTTAATGAGCGATATCGGTCTATAGTTCCCTGGGTGTTGAGGGTCCTTGCCCTGTTTCGGGATCAGTACAATGTTGGCGAGGGTGAAATCGTTATCCGGCAGGCCGCCCGTCCGGAGGTCGTTAAAAAGGTTCGTCAGGTGTGGGGTCAGTATTTCCTTAAAGGTCTTATAATAGCAACCATTAAAGCCGTCGGGGCCTGGGGCTTTATTACCGTGAAGTTTTGAGATTGCTCTGTCTACTTCGTCCGTCGTAATTTCAGAGCCCAGGACCGCTATTGCTTCCGGGGTCAGTCCGGGCAGGTCCAACTGTCGTAGGACCTCGCTCGCCTGCTGTGATACGGTGGAAGGGGAGTGGTTATAGAAGGACCTAAAATAGTCAGTAAAAATCGAGGCTATGTCGGATGTGGCTGTCTTTACGGTCCCGTCAGGGTGTTTCAGAGATGCAATATGGTGACGCGCCGGTCTTGGTCTCAGCATGCGGGCTAGGAGGGTGTCCATTTTGTTCGCCTTCTCATAGTAGGTCCGTCTGGACCAGAGAAGGCTGCGGGCTGCGTCATCCAGGAGAAGCTCCCGTACCACCCGCCTAGCCGTGTTTAACTGAACCAGCGTGGACGCTGTGGGAGAGGTTTTGTGACATTGTTCCCTCGCGCACAGAGCCTCCATTAGCTCCCGAAGGCGCTGCATTTTCGCTTTTTTCTTGTGGGTGGCTAATTTGATACATGAGCCTCTGATGACCGCCTTATGCGCGGCCCAGAGTGTGCCCTGGGTGACGTCGGGGGAGGTATTGGTGGCGAAGTAGGAAGTCAGGTCTTCACTAATGGAAGCCACGTTCTGAGGGTCATTAAGGAGGGAGGCGTTGAGCCTCCATGTCCAAGGGGGAGCTGTGCCGATATGCCGCAGGCAGATATGTACGTCCGCGTGGTCCGACCAAGTGATACTACCGATGCTAGTGTGTGAGACCTTGGGAACGGCAATACTATTGATCAAATCTATGCGGGAGTATGTGTGGTGGGGGGCTGAGAAGAAAGTGTAGTCGGTTTCTCCCGGGTGCTGTGCTCTCCAGATGTCTATGAGGCCCGTCGCCCTGACAAAACCGTGGAAGGCCCGGTCCTGCGCACCCCTACCCTGCGAGCGGGGCAGTCCCGCCCTCGTACTTCTGTCCACAGCAGGACACGGAGTCGCGTTGAAGTCACCCCCTAGGATCTGAATGCCGTGTGGGAGGGACTGTACCTTCTCCTCCAGAGTTTTCCAAAAGTCTCCCTCTGGCGCATTCGGGGCATAGACATTTATGAGGTGGAGGACCTGTGTGTGTAGGGTGCCGGAGAGGATGAGGTACCTGCCACTGCTGTCGCCCTCTATAGCTGAGACCCTTAGGGGGCAGTCGTGCCTGAGCAAAATCGCCACTCCATTGCGCTTGTTGATGGCCCTAGCCTCATATACGGTATTGTAAATGTGGTCCCTGAGGGTAATTGTCGCGTGCCTAGGTAAGTGGGACTCCTGAATGAAAGCAATGTCAGGGTGCATGCGCTTTAGGTCGCAAAACAGCAGGCGCCTCTTTTTGGGGGAGTTAAGGCCCTTGACATTCAGGGTGGTCAGTTTAAGCGTCATGACCCCGCTAAGGTCGATTTCTCCGGCCAGGTAGTGCTTGAGGTCTGTGATTTGCGCCATAATCTGTGGGGCGCCTCCGTCTTGGTGCTCCAGTGTGGAGGGGCTGCGCGGCGTCGAGGGCGCGAGGCCGGCGCCATCTTGGGCCTGTTGAGGAGTTGATTTTGCCGCCGCGAACAGGTCCGCTACCGAGGCCCCCGGTTCCTGCCCCTTCTTGGGGTGCTTCTTGGGGATCCTCTTCTCCATCTAGGGCAAGATTGGGCTTAGTGTTGCTGCTAAAAGTGTGCTAATTATCGCTGTAGGCGGTGGATACGGGACGGAGCTTTAGCCTCGTGCGTCCAGCTCGGTCGGTGATCAGGCCACGCCCCCTAAGAGTGTCTCTTTAAAATGTAATTTAAATTGTTGTCATATCAGAAACAAAGTAAATAAGACAATTAGAAATTCCCATCTCCAGCTAGCACTACTGTAATAAGAAATCTGAATGGAAAATTTCAATGATTAGCATGATTTGTAAATTGTTGAGAATTCAAGACTACTTTAAAATTTTAGGCCTTAAAAAATCAAGCTGCCAAATCTTTCTGATTTTCCAATTTGGCTATTTTGGCCTAAAATTTTAAATTCATGTTAGATCATGTATAATTATTTTGATATGTAAATCACAAAATTGGGTAAAATTGTCATGGAAGATAGCATTTTCCATCTAGCTCATTATCTTCAGTGCATGGGCCTTAACCCCTCAAGGACCAAACTTCTGGAATAAAAGGGAATCATGACATGTCGGCGGGAGGGGGACCCTGAGGCTGGGGGCACCCTCAGGGCACTATAGTATCAGGAAAACGAGTATGTTTTCCTGGCACTATAGTGGTCCTTTAAGGGGTTAAAGGGACACTCCAGGCACCCAGACCACTTCTGCCCATTGGAGTGGTCTGGGTGCCATCTCCCACTACTCTTAACCCTGCAAGTGTAATTATTGCAGTTTTTTATAAACTGTAATAATTACCTTGCAGGGTTAACTCCTCCTCATGTGGCTGTCTACTAGACAGCCACTAGAGGGCACTTCCTGCATCATAGCACAGAAAACCTGTGCTAGAGCATCGCTGGATGTCCTCACGCTGTGTGAGGACCTCCAGCGTCACTCATTTTCCCATAGGAAAGCATTGAAAAGCATTTTCAATGCTTTCCTATGGGGAGCTCTAATGCGCATGTGCGGCATTGCCGCGCATGCGCATTAGGTCTCCCCGGCCGGTGGGGGAATTGTTTTCCTGGCACTGGAGTTTCCCTTTAACAGACTTTTTCAGCAGTATGTAATATGCTTAGATGTATTGCACTTTAAAGCAATATACAAAAACAGAACAGAAAACCGAAAGAAAATCTTACATCTAAATTTAGATGGTGGTTTTAACACTATAGGGTCCGGAATACATGTTTGTGTTCCTGACCCTATAATATTCCTTTAATTACAATTGCTTGTTCTCAAGTATTCTGTATATTTGTATTTTAAATTATTTTCACAATAACAATTCACCAAAAGCTAGTCCTTGTTCAAAATAAAATATTGTGTGCTAGTCCCGTTAGAAACTGTGTCTCCTTCCTGGTTTATTCGAGGATTCCATTAGAAGAAATTTTGGACATGCTTGCTGGCTGCACTAGGTTCTGGTCCCAGGTACATATTAAGAAAGACCATGGCCTAAGAGTCACACGTGCCTTTGTAAAGGCAGTAGTTGGAGGCAGCACAGGCAGAGGGGTTGAAACCTTCCTTGGGAGAAGGATGCAAGGTCCGAGGGATAGATATCAGCCCTTGGAGAAGACGAACAGGCAGAGGAGTCAAAGCCTGCCCTAAAAAAGGAGGCACAAGGAGAGGGATGATACCTGCCTGGAAGAAAGAGGACCGGCAGTTGGGATGATAACTGCCTGAGAGAAGGCAGGGGAGTCAATACCTGCTTGAAAGGAGAAGGTGTTGGTAGATGGACCTGCAGATTGAGACCAGCTGGGAGAGATATATTATGACCCTGGTCATAAGGATCCCTATCTGACGTGGCAGACTCACATCCTTGGTGAAACATTGTCATGGCATTTGTTTCAAACATAAAACAAAAAAGCAAAATTATTATTTATGAGCATACCTATTTCCAGTCTTTGTTCCTATTATCCCATTCTACATATCCATGGCTCTGGTAGGCATGGGAGCAGCTATTTTCTATTGTTAGGTTACTGAAACTGATGGCAACCAAGGTATGACGTAACTTGAGTCAGAGAATAGTAAGAGATGTTCTCCTGAGTGTCATTATTTTAGGGAGCACTAGATGGAAGACTTATTGTTCCACTAGAGACAATTTTAGTTTTCCTAGAGTGGATGATGTTTTCGCCAGAGGCCTTCAAATTCTTGGACTATAAGCATGCCCAATCTTTGTCCCTCCAAAAAGAACAATGCTTGTGGCAATCTTGGCAATAAAATTGCTCACACCTCTATTTCATAAAACAGAAGTCTCCACCACCTCAAAAACATACATTACATTGAGATGCCAGCCTTCTGGCACTGATATCCAAACCACTAAAATATTCCACAATTAAGAGCACTGAATCAAAATAACATTACTCTCTGTCCCTAAGCAACACTGGTCATGCACATTTGTGTTGCTGAATCACTCTCTAAAAAGAAAAACCTTTCAATTAAAAAGACAAATAATCTTATCATCTGTCCTGGAAATAGGTATTGATTGAATAAAAAGCTTTAAAAGAATAGATCAACACGTGTGTATAGTTGTGATCAAGCACCCTGCCTCACTAAATGTTTACCATCATAGGTAAAGGTTAGATTTTATGGTTTTATGAATTAACATTGTTCCATTGTGCTTTTAGTGGATTATTTACACTTGCAATACATTGTACTGCTGTGGAATTGGACACTAATATGACCAGGAATTTGATGGAATGAATTCCTCTTGGCAGTGCACTTTAGGTGAAAAAGGGAAGATTGGATGGGTGAGGATTAGAAAACTTGTCTCATTCATCAATGCTATGTTTATATCCCACAAAGGTAAGTAGAAGAGCAAGGGAAGAAAGTTGGACATATACTGTGCTCACCTAGATTAAAAAGATCCCATGAACTAACACAAAAATAAGCCGTTCCTTCCCAAATGCTTGAGTATGTCTCGCCCAAATGCTGCATATTATGTGAGGGATTTCTTTTAAAAGGACCACTAAAGTCACGCAGACCACTTCATCTGAATGATGCGGTTTGGGTGCAGTGGCCCTCCCGTTTTTACTCTTCAATGTAAAACATTACCATTTTTAGAAACAGCAATAGATGGAAGGGTTAAATAATACACCTCTAGTGTCTGTTTTCCTCATATCCACTAGGGGTTCTTTTGCCTATAGAATTGAGTCAAACTTGGTTCTTCAATCAAATGCGCCCCATCAAGAGCAGTTCACTGAAGGAACGCAGTGCTTTGCCAAGGATTGGTATCTCATCCTCAATGTTTTTCTGTAAGAAGCATTGGGTTGGACATGCTCACGGAAGACTGCTAATGAAGATCGAGGTGGGGCACAAAAATAGAAGGGAATTTATAGTCCCGAAAAAATTGTTGTTTTTTTCGGAACTATAGGCTTCCTTTTTTTTTTGTAAATAAGGTTTTTATTTTGTTTTTCAAGTAAGAGGTAACGGTGAGACTCGCAGGTCTCTTTAGTCAAATATTTATACGTCTTATAGTAAAGAAGGCATTGGTACAGATTGTGAATATTTCCACTACTATGAGATTTTTGAAAACAAAATGACCAGTAAAGTGCATTTTTTTGTATGTTTTGGAAAGTAAAGTGAAAATATTTGTCAGTATGCATTGATAAAAATGTATTAATTACAATATAAGTTTTGGGTTAATTCTTGCTTATTGATAAAACAAAAAATGTTTCAGCTATGTAATAACGGTGATAGAGATTATAGAGCATTGTTTCTAACTACGTAACATTGTGCATTTTTTTTTTTAATGCAGACCTCTCACTCTCTCAGTTATACAAAATATGTATTGCCCCACATTTCTCAATTCCATCATTTCCAGTAATTTGCGATATGCCAGACACACACAGCACTGCAACCAGGATCTCCACCTGCTCATGGAATACTCCTGTATTCACTGCCTGGCCAATTGACACTAGTTAGCTATACTATTACTATACTTATGGTTGTAACATGGTGGCCAGTATGCTACGGATATTTTTTTTTACTCATTAACTTAAAGAGACATACATTGCTTCGGACATTGATTTTTATGCATTATACAGATACTATATTTAAATATAAGTAAAACGAGAAATAAAATAAATTTTGAAAAGTTCCCTTATTTTGGTTTTTTCATACACTGCAGTGAGATCCCTGGAGAGCATGGAGTGTCTCAAACTGCCATGGTTCTCACTTTGTTTTAATGGGCAGAGCAAAGGTTTCTAGTAGTTCTAATTCTCTTTCTGCTGCTAAAATAAAACTCAGAAAACCTTAGTGATGGCATCCCATACAGCAGCAGATATTTTTTTTGCAGGTTTGGTGGTCTATGAAGTATGAGAGCAAGGAGAAAAACTATTTACTGTTAAAAATAATAATAATAATAATAATAATAATAATAAAAGTAAATAACTAATTGTGCCTAACTTGTGGGTGTCTGGCTTGCTTGAACAAATTGGAACTTACTAAATTTTGGACTTTGTGTGTATGTAATAGCAGCTATTTTACTAGTCCTGCCTGGCATTAAACAGTCTGTAAAAGTAATCTGCAACAGATAGCTTTGTAACCAATATGCCTCTAGTAAGCAAAATGATCTATGATGTTCCCTAGATGTTGTGTAAGATGGGTGCAAAGTGAGTGCAACTCCACATTTTCTTAATAGATCTTTTATTTGATGTAACAGTGTTATCGGTAGACTGTGGATATCAGCAAACTAGGCTAATAGAGAATCCAGCTAACAGCTGGGAAGTGATTACATAACATTGAGACGCACGAAGGGGAATGGACTCTAGTATTTGTTATGTTATGTCCATGCTGCAGTTGCAATGCAAATCTAGACATAGCACAACTTGGAGCTGAGGGCTGCCACACTTTGCTCTCCTCTCATGTACCCAGTCATTATAATAATCCCCCCACCCCCTCCCCCTTTCCTTTACCTCTTTCTCCACCTCCCGTCCTTTTAATAAGACTGTTATATCTCTGGTTTATATTGTGGGTTTAGAAAAGTGTGTACAAAAGGTAACGAGAAACTAAGGTGGTGCAGAGAAAGAGGTCACATGCTGATCAAACTCTGAAGGAGTTAACAGCCACTCAAAGGAGATAGAGAGATGGGGGGGAAAAACCCAAAACAAAACAGATCTGTTTAGTAAATGGTGTGCCTCTCAGTCACCAACCAGCCCCATCCTGTCTTCCTTCCCCGGGGAGCTCTCTCTGTCACTTGCTGTGTCTGGGTTGCTCTTCTCTGCCACGGTCATGTTTTAACCCCTTCATGGCAGAGGGTTAGAGCAAAATCCATCTGTCCCATGACCTCTTTGCAAGTCGTCTGTCGAGAAAGGGTTAATTTAAGCTTTGACAATTGACTCTGCAAACACGTCTCGTTGTTTGTTCTATTTACACTCCCTCTGTCTGTGTGTGTGATTGTTATGAGTTCGCTTCGTTCCAATCCATTCTAAGCGGCACTTCTCCAAGGCTGCTCTTACACTTCCTTTCCATATGGATACATTGTTTGCCTACAGTCACCCTCTCACTTTGCAATTCTTCTTCTTCTCCAGCTGATCTTTTATGGGGAGATAACCGATGCCAACCCTTGTACCAGTCTCTGCCATTCATTTTCCTCTCCCTTCCTCTTGTAACATTGTATCTCCTGACTCAGAAGGGTTCTACCTGAGCATGATGTCCTGTCCAAGCATTCCTGGTCATGACATCTGGGAAGGTACAGACAGGGCGTGATTGAAGGGTCTCTATGGCATCTGTTGGCGACACCCCTTAGCTCCCAGTTCCTCGGAGAGCAGCACACAGCACACCTGAGGAGGAGGAGTGAGCTGCTCCAAGTTACTAGCAGGTACAGCAACACGCCAGCTGTGCCCTGCACACTGCAGAGGGATTTAAAGGGATACAAGGACTTGTTGAAATGGTGAATAAGTGGAAAAGCCCGGATGAGTTGGACAGAAGGTGCTCTACCAGAGATGAAGCGGTAGAAGTAGGGAGGAAGAGGAGTGCCAGTCGGTTCAGTGAGTCCTGGAAGAGAATAAGTTCTAGACAAGGATCCACCAAGCGATCTGGACTGTCATCTCTGCAGCCCCCGGTAAGAGCAGAATCCCTGTACTAATAATGACTTGTGACATACCTCCTGCCAGCACTGGCACTGAACCAGGAACTGTCCATGGTGCTGAAACTCGGTATCCATAAGGGACACCTGTAGGTCAGGGATGTCCAATAGTTAGATTCTCATTTTGGGCACTATTGCTGTAGGTACTCGGTGCTTCTGCTCATGCAAAATGCCTTGTGTTTGTATGTCTCGGGATTGTAACCTTTACTGAGAGAAACCTGCATTTCATAGTGATTGCAGCCAGGGGTCCAGCTGCAGATAATGTTTAAGTTTAATCTAGTATTTAGTAATGTTTCATGGAGGATACGTTTAATGGAGGGTAGTGGGAAAGTTAAAAAAAAAATCTGTATTTGATCTGGGAAGTTTTTGTGCAATCTCATATGGCAATGAAAGGGTATCATCATTATTTACTGTCTTTGCTGAGTTTCATAGTTCTTTTCTTTTCTTTTTTTAATGTATTTGCAATTGAGAACTTTTTAATGTATATGTTAAGTATAATATCTATTGAAATGTAATTTACAATCTGTATCGTGTCTTATTTTGGTGGCTGAACTCCTTGTAAATGCATCCAGCTTGTGTTTGCTCCCATTGTACTACACAGTATAGCTTCCCT